GGGACAGCTTGTCCGCAGACAAGTCGCGGACAAACGCCCGAGATCCCCAGACACGGAACGCCGACGCATCGCCAACCTTCCCCGTCCTCAGCAAAGCTGGGGAGGTCTCCGGTCTGGAGACCCTGGGCTGAAGGTTGATCTGATGCACGGCGTACCGAACCGCAAACGGCCACAGAAAATGGGGGGCAGCCGCATGCACCATGGACGTACGGGCGACGTCCATGACAATGTCGATGCGGCGCTCAGCAATCCCATTCTGCTGTGGAGAGTCCGGAAGCGTGAAGGTCTGGCGGATGCCTCGTGCCCGACAGTAGGCTCGCAGAAGGCCGGAGGAGAACTCTCCGCCTCTGTCCGAGTGCAGACGCAAAACAGGAAAGTCCGAGCCGAAGCTCCGCCTGAGCTGGAGACGAGCTGCGCGGATCCAGTCGATCAACACCTCAGTGACCTCACCCTTGCTGCGCAAGGGGAAGACTGTGGTGTAACGCGAGTAGTCGTCAACCACCAGCAGGAAGTAGCGCTCGTGACCCTGTCCACGGACGCGGGCTGGGCCCCACACGTCCATGTGAAGCGTCTGCATCGGGGCCTCCGTCGGAGGAAACGGGGAGGAGTGAGGGGTAGCCTGCAGGCGACCCTCGACACAGGGGACACAGGGAGGGCCAGGCCCCGGAGGAAGGGGAGGGAGGGACCGGGGAAGGCCAGAGACAAGAAGGCGAGAGGCCATGCCCCGGAGACGAGGCAGGGAGGGGTGACCCATCCTGTGGTGCCACAGGAGGGTCTCGTGGGACAGGAGGCGACACGAGCAGGGGGCAGACTCAGGACCAGACCTGGACGCTGCAGCAAACACCTGACCCGACGCAGCTACCTGACCAGACGCAGGAGGAGGAGACGGAATAGTGAGTGTGTACAGGCTCGACCCCGGCCCACGTGTGAACGTGGTCAAGTGTCGACCCGTGTCCGCGTCCGTGCAGTGGGTGTCCCGTCGGCGTGCAGGGGTGAACTGGTCGACCCCCGCATCCTGTAGGTCAGCACCCGCCACCAAGTTCGTAGAGAACGAGGGGAGGTAGAGACCGGACAGAGCGCCAGACGGGACCGCAGGGCACGGCAGGACAGTGGAGTAGCGAGCCAGAACAGGACCCCCAGAGGGGTCCGCCAGGGAGACCGCCACTGGCCGACTAAGCGGTGTGAGTGTGGTGCGGTCTCAAAAGAAGGAGCGAGACGCCCCTGAGTCAAGAGTGAAGGTGAGAGAGGGCGGAGCCGACGCAGTACCTGAGAGAGCAGACTCACCAGCACCTGAGGACACAGACTCACTGGCACCTAGAGCGACAGCCTCACCAGCACCTGGAGCAGCAGCCTCAACAGCACCTAGAGCCGCAGTACCAATGCCTGGGTCGGGCGGGAAACACCGGTAACAGTCACCCTCCTCACTAATAGTCACAGCATACATGGCAGCAAGAATAGCATCAAAGTCAAGATCAAAGATAGCTACTCCTGCCCTAGACAGCTGGTCCCAGCGAGGGATCTCAGAGGCGTCAGGAAACTGGCGGCGCCAAGCGTCAGTCAGGCGGCCGAAGCAGCGCTGGGCGGAGTGTGGACCACCACACGGCTCACCCGCACGGTCGCCAGTGCGCAAGACGTAGGTGCACGGACCAGTACCCCCACCCCTCTGACGTGCAGTGTACCACTCACGGAGCTGCTGTGGGGAGAGGGTCTCCTGACCACGCTGCTGCCGTTGCTGCTGGCGCTGACCGCCACCGGAGCCACTCCTCTGCGACGAGCCACGACCTCCTCCGCCGCCTCCTCCGCCGCCGCCGCCACCACCTCCGCTGCCACCGCCACTCCCACCGTCGCTGCCGCCACCGCCGCCTCCACTTCCACTCCCACCACCACCGCCGCTGCCACCCCCGCCTCCACTGCCGCCGCTGACACCTCCACTCCCGCCACCACTCCCGCTACCACCCCCACCTCCTCCGCTGCCTCCACCGCCGCCTCCACCGCCCCCGCCGCCGCCACCACCGCTCCTGCCCCCCTTGCCCTTGCCAGAGCGACGTCTCCCACTGGGGGCAGACGCCGCGCCGACCGACTCAAAACCAACTAGGTCGGCCGTAGCAGCAGAGGCGACAGAGGGCAGGAGGGGGGAGGGGGAACACCCCTCAAAGATGGGGGTGCGCGGGTCACCACGAGAGGCCCCTACAGCGAGAATGCTCTTCTCGGCTGCTAGGAGGGACTTCTCGAGGAGGTCAACAGTGAGAGTGGTGGGGCAGACTGAGAGTAAGTCGTCCCTGACTCCGCGAAGGGAGTCAGGGAGGCGGGCGACAATGTAGTAGAGAGTGAAGTACTGGGGGGGGGGGGGTTCTTGGCGCAGAACTCAGCAGGAAGCGCAGCGCGGAAGCGAGCGTCACTAGTGCGCAGGTGGGTAATGAGGTCGGCGACTGTGGCAAAGGAAGCAAGGTCGGGAAAGAGGTACGGTAGCATGAGGCGGCTCAGTGCAGCAGTGGCAGGGGTGGAGTAGCGTGCAATAACGGCGTCGTACAAGGTCTGAGCACTCTTGTACGACCCAAAGTGTGCACGCTCAGAGGGAGGGAGGTGGCGACGCACAGCAAGACGTGCAGCAGCATCACGTGTGGCCCACACTGAGCGAACAGTGGCATCCTCAGTAGCAGCAGGGGCGGGAGAGGCACCAGAAGTGAGATCAAAGAGAGAGAGGCCGTCAGCTCTGTCGCACTGTAGGAAAAGCAGCAGGTCGTCTACCCACACGTCAAAGTCTATGGCTCTGCCCTCAGCGTCGAAGGTGAGGACACTGGGGGTAGCCATGACACCAGTAGGGTGAGGGCAGTGCGCAGAGTAAAGCTCAGTGCTCACCAGACAGGGCAGTGCAGACGGCTCGGGCGGCTCGGGCGGCTCGGGCGGCTCGGCGACTCGGCTGCTGGGCGGCTCGGGCGGCTCGGCGGCTCGGGCGGCTCGGGCGGCTCGGCTGCTGGGGCGGCTCGGCTGCTGGGGCGGCTCGGCTGCTGGGGCGGCTCGGTTGCTGGGGCGGCTCGGCTGTTGGGGCGGCTCGGCTGCTGGGGCGGTGCAGTTGCTGGGGCGGCGAGGCCGGGAGATGCAGCTGCGGGGCCGTTAGGGGTAGTGGCGGGGCCGGTAGGTGAAGCGGCGGGGCCGTCAGGTACAGCAGCGGGGCCGGCAGGTGAGACGGCGGGGCCTGCAGATGAGGCGGCGGGGCCGGCAGGTGCAGCTGCGGGGCCGTCAGGGGTAGCGGCGGGGCCGGTAGGTGCAGTGGCGGGGCCGTCAGAGGGGACGGCGGGGCCGTTAGGTGCAGCGGCGGGGCCGTCAGAGGGGACGGCGGGGCCGTCAGGTGCAGCGGCGGGGCCGTCTGAAGCAGCGGCGGGGCCGTCTGAAGCAGCGGCGGGGCCGGCAGAGGGGACAGCGAGGCCGTCAGAGGGGACGGCGGGGCCGTCAAGTGCAGCGGCGGGGCCGGCAGAGGGGACGGCGGGGCCGTCAAGTGCAGTGGAGGGGCCGGTAGAGGGGACGGCGGGGCCGTCGCAGGCGATCGCGGGGCCGTCAGAGACGGCGCCGGCGTCGCGAGGGTCAGAGGGGGCGGCGCGCGACTGGAGGGCGGCACGCGCGACGCGGCGCGGCCGTCTAGGGGCGGCACGACGAGGCCGCGTAGGTGGCGCGCCAAAAAAAATCGCGGGCGGCTCGACGCGATCGGGCCGCCAAAGGAAAAAAAAGGCCTAGCGCGACTCGAGCTAGGGCAGAGCACGCTCCGGGTAGGACGGAATAGTAGGTGGGCCCTAAGAACAGTTCCCACTAGGGAACCTGCTCGATACCATGATGAGATAGAGGCGAGGAATGATTGCACTATGAAATGAAACAAGTACAAGTACCAACCCTAATTGGGTTGTATCCCCTATGGGCTACCCCACTACAGCCTAAATACCGTAATCTCCCGGACAAAACACCCCCCCATGATAGTACACCCCCGGGTAGCTTGTGCGGGGTGGGTGCTATGGGCGACCTCGTTTCTACTATACCCCCCTTTTTGTATGATTTTCTATAACACCCCCCTTTTCTTACGGATTCCTATTATAGTTGTTATCGAGTCTGATTCCTTACAGGGGAATATCGCGAGAATTGCTTCCTAAATGAAATTTCGCGCGTACTTGCACTTAGAATCCGCCAACATTTCCCCCTCCCACAATCTCACTGTCGCCACCCTGGCGAATCTTTCGCTGCTAGTGGACATTTCCCCCATCCCACATTCTAGGAAGTTGCCACGCTGGCGAATCTTCCGCTGCAAGTGGCCCGAAAGGTGAAACTCACATTCTTGCCAAAACTCACATTCTCGCCTCAAACTGTGATGTTAAAACGACCATTGAAACACCCAAACTGTCTAATTTGAGAATCCTCTTGCATTAAAATATACCATATATAACCACCCGGGTATTATATAGGATTTTCCGTTGAGAGGACCCCCCCCCTTTTTTCCCTGTGGTTATCATAATACCCCCGGGTGTTATGTCCGGGAGAATACGGTATATGTATCAGTAATATAATCATCTGACAAACTGCTCTGTAACGAGTCAGTTGTGTGTCCTTAACTGTCGCGCTGTAATTGTCGAGTCAAAGGTCGCTGACCTTTGACTTTCCCGTAACCTCCAGGCGGTTACCCTAACCTCCAAGGTTTGACTCGATGCTTCGATTCGGACTGCTTCGCTAGTGTCTTGGGTTTTGACACGACAGAAGCGCACTAAGACTTATTGTTTCCAACATTATGTAGGATTTTCCTTTGAGGAGACCCCCCCCATTTTTTCCCAGTGGTTTTCATAATACCCTAGGGTGTTTTATCCGGGAGAATACGGTACCAGAGAAAAAAAATAGGCACTGCATCCAAGGCACAGTGATCAGCCTTTTCTGATCCCACCATTGCCTGTAAGGATACTCTTTCTGAATTGGCAATTCTGGGCCGCCAACTATGTACATGGCTACTCTCTCATTTGTCTGCCTTATCTTCTATAAGCCTTCTTCTGACCCTTCATTCCACCCCCAGTTGAACCCGCTGTCTTGGCCCTCTGGTTGGCTGTGCGGGCCTTGCTGGACGAGCTTGAGGACTTGAATCCTTGGCCTCCGCTGTACCCGCCAGCAGACGCCTTGCTGCGCTGCTTTACACCGTGCCAGGGGCCACCGCCAGCAGCGCCACCCATGAAGCCCGCCAGCAGCTCCTCCATGCTCGGCGCTCCACCATGCTTCTTGCCACTGCGTGACTTGGACGACGAAAACGCCTTGCCAAATTGTTTTCCCATGCCACCCATGCCGCCCATGCCCCCCATACCACCCATTCCTCCCATACCCCCCATGCCGAAGGATGCAAGCAGCTCCTCAACGTTGGGAGCGGAGGAGCCAGAGGAGGCGAATGAGAAGGGGGAAGCACCGGAGGAGGAGAAGGAGAAGGACGACGACTTGCCACTTGTGCCTCCTGCACCCGCACCATTGCCAGAGGAGAAGCGATACGTGTACGCGTTCCCTCCACTGCTCCCTTTTCCTCCTCCCGCCCCCGCGCCTTCACCCCACCTGAAGCCACTGAAGCCTGGCCCGCCCTGCCACTGGTGCTGCCCCCCCGCCTTGGCGCGCCAACTGGAGGAGTGCGCGGAGTGCGCGGAGGATGGCGGGTCGGAGGGGTCCCCCATGAGATCGTACTGCCTGCGCTTGTCCGGATCCGACAGCACGTCGTACGCTGCAGGGGGGCGGACGACACGGGCACACAGACAGATGTCAGAATATAGGTATTATGAAGATAAGGGAAAAGGAAGGCGCCGAGGGCGAAGGAGCGTGGGCGCAGGGACGTCAGAGTGACGTACCGTGAGAGATCTCCATGAATTTGGTCTTGGCTGACTTGGAGGGGTTCTTATCAGGGTGGTACTTGAGCGATAACCTGCACCGCGCACGCCAAAGATAGCCACGGGACGCACGAGAGGAGTGGAAAAGACGAAATCGATGAGATTCCACATGCGTGGCGGCAAGAGGATGGGCTAGCGTGCGACGACTAACAGAAGGGAGCGAAAATGAGGCGAAGAAAGGGAGAGCAGATGAGGCAAGCGGGGCTCGGCACTGACTTGTAGAAGGCCTTGCGGATGTCCTTGTCGCTGGCGCCCCGCTCCACTCCCAGCACCTGGTAGCGGGGAGCGACGAGGAGAGACGATGAAGTGTGGTAGTAAGGTTTGCGCACGAGAAGCAAGTGCGAGATACGAGATTCAGGTGCGCACGAGATCCGTGAGGTGTCTCTCTCGGAGGCGTGGACGGATGAGCAGCGACTTACAGAATAGAGATCTTTGGCTGCTGCCGCTGCGGCTATGAGCGCCAACACGCAGACGAGAGCCGCGGGAAGAGTGACGCGAAGACGAAGATGTCCCATGACTGTAACGGCGATTAATTTCAGTACTAGTGGAGGGAGATGTTCAAACTTGGTTGGATGGCTGAAAATGAACTGGTGTCTGTCTGCTGGGCCTAAACGGAGGAAGCATGGCTTGAGGGTGTGAGGGTGTAGAAGGTTCGAGAAGAATCGAAGACCTCTTTTAGCTGTTCCTTGGGGTTGGTCCCGAAAGTTCATGCATGAATGTTCAGGCAGGTGAGGTGAGAAAACCGCTCCGAAAGTGCACATTATCGTGCTCAACCGTTTGTACTGAACTGATGGGGAACGATCCCAAACGAATATCGGAGATCCATGAGAGCAGGTTCGTTATCGAAGATCGTGTTATGAGCTGCACGAATAAGGAATGCGCCATACGATTGAATGCCTAGGCATATTCTGAGAGGACAGAGATAGTGTCATGCAAAAATTGCAGGAAATTGGAGTTACGGTATTACTGGTAAGCCCCTTAGCCTAATGTCAAGCCCTAGACCCAATCAACTTGAAGGTTCTATCTGGGGGGGGGGTGAGGTATTTTTAGAGGAAATGGGGGGGGGGGGGGGTTTGAGGGAGGGTCACGATTCATGATACGCGCAACAAAAGTTAATTTGCCTTTAGTAATAATACGGTATGCTGAAAGAAATTTCATTCAGTCCCAACTCATTGCCCCGCTTTTATGTCCTAGGGGGGTTAGGTAGTGGTGCCAAATGTTGTAGCCTTCAATGATGCGTGTCATACGAGGTACAGTAGGTAGGGTTAGGTTTATGTACCCCAACTCACAATAGTCAATCATCATTTGGTCTCCTCTCTCCCTCTGCTCCCCCCTCCCCCTCTCCTCCTGTGTACAGTCCCACGTTTCCTCCTCCTGACCCCACCCTAGCTGTTTTCACGCGTTTTCAGCCTCCGTTGTCACATCCTCTTTCTCACACTTGGGCTTCTCGCTCTCCTCGTGTTCGTCCCTCGTCCCTTGACCCTATCAGTGACCTTCGTACTGTCCTGTTCCGTCCTAGTCCGCCTCGTTCGTCTCCGTCTGTGCTTCCTTCTCCTCCTTGGTCGGACCTCACTATTTCCCTCTCTACTCCTGTCACTGACTATTACCGCACGTACCGTCCTGTTCTCTCTCCCGCCTCTCTTGATACACACCCTCGTGCCTCTCTGTCCTCTCTCTTCGCCCTTACAGCCGCCGTCACTGAGTTCGCCGCTATGCGCCGCCTTGACTACGCCACTCGAATCGTGCCTGCTCCTCCTACCAGTCATCTGGCCGTCGGGGGTGAGTCCGCCCTTGGCTGTGACGCCCTAGAGGACAGGCCGTTTTGAGCTGGAGTTCCTGGCAGCCGCTTCCGCTCATCTCTGTGCCATGCTGCTTGCCCCTGAGGAAGACCCCGACGCCCTTGAAATACCGAAACCTCGCACTTACGCTGAGGCAGTGTCAGAGCCTTCGGCCTCCCAGTGGAGAGATGCCATGGACTCAGAGATGGCCTCCTACAGATCCACAGGCACCTACGTCGACGAGGTTCCCCCCCCCCCCCCCCCCCCTTGGGGCGAACGTAGTCGATGACATGTGGATCTTTAGGGTGAAGCGGCTACCGGGATCTCCTCCGGTCTTCAAGGCGTGCTATCTGGCTAGAGGTTTCAGTTAGCGCGAGAGAGTTGACTTCTTTCAAACCGTCACGCCTACCCCGAAGATGACCACTCTTCAGGTGTTACGGCACGTTGCAGCACAGAGAGACTACAAGTTACACTCTCTCGACTTCTCCACTGCCTTCCTTCAGGGTAGCCTACATGAGGAGGTCTGGTTGCGACGTCCCTCTGCCTACACTAGCACTTTCCCTCCTCAGACCTAGAGGAGGCTGAGACGACCGGTCTACGGTCCCCGTCAAGCGCCTCGTGAGTTGCACGACACCCATCGCTGTTCATTCGACGTGGCTCTACACTGTTCTTTGTGCTGGTCTACGTCGACGACCTGGTCTTCGCCACTGCAGACAAAGTTGCTTTGGCTAACGTGAAGTCCGAACTGCAGAAGAGATACACGTGGAGCGACCTTGGTGAGCTGCGCCACTACCTAGGCCTACATGTCACCAGGGACAGAACCGCTCGCACCATTACACTCTCACAGTCCTACATGGTGCAGCAGGTCCTTCAGCGGTTCCAGTTTCAGCACTCGACAGTACAGCGCACACTGTCAGAACATATATGTAGCTTATGCTGTTGTGTAGGCTACAGTGGGGTATACCATAGGGGGTACAACCCAATTAGGGTTTTGCTATTTGTACTCACTTCACTCATAGTTCATTCATTCTCGTTCTATTCTCCACATGGTATCGAGCAGGTTCCCCCGTGGGAACTGTGCTTAGGGCCCACCACTTTTAAACTTTTTTTCTGCCCGGAGCACGCTCCGGGCCCTCGCTCTCACTCTTTCGGCCTGCCCTGCGGCCCCCTAGCCGCCCGCGCGCGCCCGTTCCGGCCCCTAGCCGCTCGCGCGCCGCCCGTTCAGGCCCCTAGCCGCCCGCGCGCCGCCCGTCCCGGCCCCTAGCCGCTCGCGCGCCGCCCGTTCAGGCCCCTAGCCGCCCGCGCGCCGCCCGTCCCGGCCCTTAGCCGCCCGCGCAGCCGCCCGTCCCGGCCCCTAGCCGCTCGCGCGCCGCCCATTCAGGCCCCTAGCCGCCCGCGCGCCGCCCGTCCCGGCCCCTAGCCGCTCGCGCGCCGCCCGTTCAGGCCCCTAGCCGCCCGCGCGCCGCCCGTCCCGGCCCCTAGCCACCCGCGCGCGCCCGTCCCGGCCCCTAGCCACCCGCGCGCGCCCGTCCCGGCCCCTAGCCGCCCGCGCGCGCCCGTCCCGGCCTCACACCGCCCGTGCGCCACCCGTCCCTGCTGCACGCCGCCGTCTCGGCCCCCCCACGCCGCCCGTTAGCCGCCGTGCAGCCTGAGCCGCCCGAGCCGTCTGCGCAGCTGAGGAGCCGAGCCGCCCGAGCCGCCTGTGCCGCTGACTGCCCGAGCTGCCCGAGCCGCCTGAGCCGCCCGAGCCGCCCGAGCCGCCTCCCCCCCCCCCCCCCCCCCCCCCCCCCCACCCCTGAGGGGTGGCAGGTGTGTGGTCTCCCCTGCTTCTCCTCCTCCTTCGTCTCGAGCCGCCCTGCAGCCGAGCCGCCTCGCCGCCGAGCCGCTCTACACCCGAGCCTCCCAGCAGCCGAGCCGCCCTGCAGCCGAGCCGCTCTACACCCGAGCCTCCCAGCAACCGAGCCGCCCTACAGCCGCGCCGCTGGGTCGCCGAGCTGCCGAGCTGCAGTTGCTACCGAGCCGCCCTGCCGCCGAGCCGCCCGAGTTGCCCGAGCTGCAGAGCCGCCGTGCTGCCGAGCCGCTGAGTCGCCGAGCCTACTCTACCCACCACTGGTGAGCCCCTGCCCTGCTAGCACGCTGCGCGTCGCCTGCTTGCCTGCCTGCCTCCCTTTTTGGCTTGCCTGGCTGCCTGCCTTACTGCTGCTACTCCTGCTCCTGCCTCTACTGGTGGAGCCAGATGCAGCCCCATCGACGTCTGCGTGAGTCCCTCACGCCCCAGCAGCTGCGTGAGTGGTACGCTGGTTGGGGCTGTAGGGGTGGTGGCGCTACTACTGCTACCACTCCTGCTGCTTCTACTACTGGTGGCGGCCAGATGCAGCTCCCGCGACCCCCCCGCGCGTCTCTCACGCCTCAGCAGCTTCGTGAGTGGTACGCTCAGAGTAGAGGGTCTCTCAGTTCTGTTCGCTGCTCTTACGTGATTCTCACTGGTGCTCGGACTGGTCAGCCTTGTGGGACACCTGGTCATACACAGTCCCGCTGCTTCGCCCGTCTGAGCGACGCCTGGCGTACCGTGTTTGGCGACGAGGCTGAGCTCCCTGACTGGGTGGAGTTGCTTAGGCAGAGGGTAGATATATTTGCTCTTGACTATGATGCTATTCTCACTGCCATGTATGCATTGCCTACTAGTGCTGACCGTGCCGGTCACCGGTGCGTACCGCCTGACCCGGGTATAGGACCTGCTGCTCTAGCTACTGGTGAGGCTGCTGCTGCTCTGGGTGCTAGTGAGTCTCCTGCTCCAGGTACAGGTGCGGCTGCTGCTCTAGGTGCTAGTGAGTCTGCTTCCTCAGGTGCGGGTGAGGCTGCGCTCTCAGGTACCACGTTGGCTTCGGCCTCCCTCACCTTTACACTTGACTCTGGGGCTTCTCGCTCCTTCTTTCGGGACCGCACCACACTCACGCCGCTTGGTCGGCCTGTTGCAGTCTCCCTGGCTGACCCCTCTGGGGGTCCTGTCCTCGCTCACTTTTCCACTGTCCTCCCGTGTCCGGCTGCCCCCTCGGGCACCCTGTCTGGCCTGTACCTCCCCTCGTTCTCGACGAACTTGGTGAGTGGTGCAGACCTGCAGGATGCGGGGGTTCACCAGTTCACTCCTGCGAGTCAGCGGGTGACCCACTGCACGGACGCACGCACAGGCCGGCACCTGGCCACGTTCTCGCGTCGGCCGGGGTCGAGCCTCTACACCCTGACCACTGAGTCTCCTCCTGTCCCTGCGTCCGGTCAGGTAGCAGCGTCAGGTCAGGTGTTTGCTGCTGCGTCCAGGTCTGGTCCTGAGTCTGCCCCCTGTTCGTGTCGCCTCCTGTCTCACGAGACTCTCCTGTGGCACCACCGTCTCGGCCACCCCTCCTTGCCCCGTCTTCGGGGCATGGCTTCCCGTGTCCTTGTTTCTGGTCTTCCCCAGTCTCTCCCTCCCCTTCCTTCGGGACCAGGACCTTCCTGTGTCCCCTGTGTCGAGGGGCGCCTCAGGGCTGCTCCTCACTCCTCCCAGTTTCCCCCGACAGAGGCTCCTCTGCAGACACTTCACATGGACGTGTGGGGCCCGGCCCCCGTCCGTGGGCAGGGTCACGAGCGCTACTTCCTGTTGGTGGTTGACGACTACTCGCGTTACACCACAGTCTTCCCCTTGCGCAGCAAGGGTGCTGTCACTGAGGTGCTGATCGACTGGATCCGCGAGGCTCGTCTCC